AAGGTTTGCCCCAGTGTGAGTCTTGAAAAAAAAAACCTTTGGATAAACCAAATCTGAGAAGATCTTATCTTGAACAAATCTTGAACTGATTCTTTGACAGGATGTAAAAGGAACTTGCCCCTGATAAGATCACTTGACCAAGTTTCTCATTGTTTAAAAATTCCTTAGAGGAAAGCCAGTTTGCAAACAAAAATATTCATACAAACATGGTAATGCTAAGTTCATGCGACTTTTGAAATCAAAATTATTTTTGAAAAATGAAAAATAAGTCGTTGGTCAGAACACGGTGGTTCAAGACGCTCAAAATTTAAAACAAAAGTGTATTGCCAAAATAAATGATTCACAAAGATCTTTTGGAGTCAGGTTACACAACCTTGTTGTAGTATACTTTCAAAATAACCTTGCTTCAATTAGGTCTTTTGAGGGTTGTAACGTGGTCTGGTTCATGGTTTATGAAACAAAGGATAAAGGCTCAAAATTTATTTATACCCACCCCATCTACATGATGATCTCCAGTCCTATGCTCAGTTAACTCGTATTATGCATTCAGGTTCGTATAGATTAGGAATTGCACTGATGGTAGCAATGATGGTTCAGAAGTCAATGGACCTATGAAAAGCAGCCACTACCTCCTTATGATATTTGGTCATTTTGACATTGAGGATTTTCAGGGTAAAGATTTAAAACTCCTCTTTGTATTATCCCTAAATTTTTCCTGAACTGTTTCTTTTAAAGCTTACAGCCAGTGGGATGCCCCAGTTTTGCCTAAGTCTCCTTCATAGGTTTTGACTTAGCGGGCTCTTTCTTTTGATTTTTTTTTAAACATGACTGCTTGGTTTAATGATTACGGTGAACCATCATCGGTTTTTTGGCTTAAAAAAAATCTTCGACACTTGTTTGTTGTGTGTGAAGGAAAATTACAAGTGCGACCTTTATATGAAAGGCATATTGCATGAACACATAACCGAGTTAACTGAGAACTACCCATCCCCAGGTTAACATTGCGAGTTTTTTTTTTTGTAAAGAAAGGAACTCCACCTTCTTAGGCTCGAAGGGGGTAACAAGGGATTAACTTCCTTATTTCTCTAGTGTTTGGGAGTTGAAATAATGCCTTACATCGTCAACAAGGTCGGATTGAAAGCATACTGACAGCAATTATGGGTATAACATTTTCGTCATCCTCCCTCCAATCTTATCATATCAAAAATTTGGACAAAAAGTAAATATTTGAAAAATAAAGCATAAAGATGCAAATAGTAGGAAAAATGAATTGAATCAAAAGTCGCAATGCTCAGTTCATTAATATAAAATTACAAACATAGTCCGAAAACAAACAACTAATAAAATAAGGAAAATACAAACAATGAGAAACAAAAGCGTAATGATTAAATCAGTGAGCCATCCTCTGGGGTCAGCCCGAAGCTTCACTTTTGATGTGCTGGCAACAGATTTTTCTAGATATTTGGAGGATTATCTTCAAAATCAAGTATTCCATCCCTAATTAACTCACGCACTATGGCTTTCAGTGCAAAACAATGCTCCAAATCGTGGCCTAGGGCACCCTCATGAAAAGCACAATGGAGATCGGTCCTGAACCTAACCGGAGGAGGACTAGGAGGAGGTGGCGAAGCCTTTGTGGTGATCAGTCCTCGTCGAACCAAGTCAAGATATAGCTCGGTGTAAGTCATGGGAATAGGATCAAAGTGGCTTCTGTTCCATTTCTGGTTTTGTCTGATAACTGGGCGTTGAGGAGTCTGAGTTGGCTGTCCTCTGGCAATCAGTATTTGAAGCATTTCAGTGAGCTTAGTCATGTCTGACTTCAACTCATCGATTTCCATTCGGATCTCTGCATTGTATGTCTCTTTCTCTGACATCTTAATGTCTATAGTTAGCCCTGGTCTGATATCTGTGTCGAGGAATCAACTTGACGACTCAAAGGTACACTGGAAGACGAGAGAACCGAGAATGAGAAACCGGGGAAAAAATGCAATGCAAAAATGTGATGCTAATGCAATGCGATAGTTACAAGAACTTCAACGGTCGATTGCAAACATTTCTTTTTTAGGAAAGTTGGAAACGGTTTTAAACTTTGAAATGTAGGACTTTTGAATTCGCAAAGGACTGTTGAATTCCTTGAAACTAGGAATGATGTTTTATGAATGCCATGCACAAATACACACAAACAACAAAGTCCTAGGTTAGAGGAACAATGAATGAAGTTAAGGTCTACCCTTCCCCAAAGGTATGTACTATGGGGTAGTTGTACCTGCAGAACAAGGTTCTAAAGAGGTGCCCAAAGTCATCATTCCATCCTTCGGATATTATCAACTTTCCAACTGACTCGGAGGTCGATAATATTCTCAAGAGAACCTCTTTTGAGTGTAGTATCGCGTAGCAACTATTGTAGGACTACTCCCACATAGTTCCCGCACTACGTCCTATATAAGGCCAAGGTGGTGTTAAGGTACTACGGTCCCTAGTATCACAGACTCCAATTGAAAATAGTAAAAGTTTTCACGACTACACTCGATCAACCGAACCATTTTCGAAAGGGTCTCAACTGAGCGGTGATTCTCGAGTCGACTTGGTCGGGACTCACTCCCGGCAAGCCTCGTCGAATATCTCACCTTCCTATAATAAGGTCACTCAAGTCTGGGTTAGGACTTATCTCACAATAACAGGTATCCCCACAAGGTACAATGATATATAAAAATAATTAATAAAATATCATACAATAAACAAAATAGGGGTAACCATTAAAAATTAGGAGGATCCCCAGTGAAGTCGCCATTTTCTGTTGTGGTTAGAATATGATATCAAATTATTAATTAATTTGAATCGCATCTTTAGTTCACAACCGCTCTTTGATTTATCCGAAGGAAAAGGTCAAAAGAGGAAAACCTAATTTTGCATCGTAAAAACAATGCAGGGAGAGATCTAGGTAAGGGGTTGGTTAAACTCAGGGAAGGTACTAGCACCCTAAACTTCTGTAGTACTCTACAGGAACCTTTTGTTTATTGTATGCTTTTTTTTATATTTTATTATCTGTTTTAATATATATTGAGCTAAGGGATAGAGTGACCTAAAGACCTAAGGGTTAGTCCTAAGTTTACTCGGCAAGACGTTGCATCTTGTACCTACATATCCTGACGGGAATGGAATCAGAGTAATTGTAGTTCCCCTCAAAAGGGAGGTTAGAAACGTCTTGACTGTGGTCAAGGTTTCATTAGGGAGTAAGCATTCAAAGGGAAGCGCCTACGTGGAGTCTTGAAACTCCTATTTCTACGTTGAAATTTTTAATTGAAATTAGGGTTAAATTAAATATTCCACGGCGGGAAACACTAAAACAGAGTACAGCGACTCTTTGACCTAATGCTAGGGTAAAGGGTATTTTCGTCCACGGCGGAACACCTAGGCGATTAGGGTTTTGAAATGGTCAAACGTTAGGGTTATTGACTCGGCGGTCAAACGGCTAGACCTAATCCTTCGGAAGGAACATAACACTAAATCATGCAAAACATTGCAAAATATTATATGGCAGAAATAAAGTGCGGAAAGTAAAAAAAGCGTCGCGACGATCACTCGCGTAAATTACAAATCCCCAAAAAATGCAAAATAAAATAAACCGCGACCATGGCCTCGCGTAAATTACATCCATGGAACAAATTACAAATATTATAACGAAATATTTAATTAATAATAATCGGAGACCGACTAAAACCTAGCGGAAAACAAATAGAGAACGTTAGTGAAAAAAAAGTTAGGCGGAAATCAATGACAAATAATAAAGCAATTAATAATGAAAGAAAGAAAATGCAATTTGGAAATTTATTATTTTATTAATTTTGAAAAAACTTTATTTTTAATTTCTGCAAAAAGAAATTTAATCTTAATTTTGAAACAATGGTTTTAATAAAAATGTTTTAGTTTTAATTTTTTTAAAAATGATTCAATTTAAAAATTTTTAAAAAAAGAAGTTTTAGTTTTAATAAAAAACAGTTTTAATTTTTTTTATTATAAGAACAGAGTTTTAAAACAAGGTTTAACTAGCAAATATTTTTTAATTAAACTAACCATTTATTATGACATAATTACAATTTAAAGAAAATCAGAATAATAGTAATAATAATAATAATAATAAGAAGAAGAAAAATAAAAAAGGGAAAAATAAAAAATATAAAAAAATAAAAGGGGAAAAGTAGGCTTCACGCTGAAGCATTTTAATCTTTAGGTTTTTAGAAACCCCATCTTCTTCTTCATCACGGTGGCGGTGTCGTTGCAGCTCCTTTGAGCTTTGCTCCATTCTTGCATGGCCGGAAACGATTCCTCTCCTTCTTCTTCGGTTTGTTCCACCTGAAAACAACAGAAAAACTTTTTTATTGACAAAAAGAACTGCTCACCTCGTTCGGGGTTCGAAGCGGTTCGCGGTGGTTTTGTGCCGTTTGGTGGATTTGCTGACGCTTTCCTCTTCTGATAAGTCGTGAGAACGGCTGCCGTTTTTTTCCTTCTGTGTGCTCTCTTTTTCTCAAATGCAACTCATGTTTTTTTAGGTAACAAATTAGGGTTAACTCTAACCTAATACCCACTTTAAAGCCCAACTTAAAGAATTAGTCAAAACTAAAACAAATTAAAACAAACTTAAAACCCTATTTATTTACCTAACATTAAAAATATTATAAAAAGAATAAAATATTTTCTAATATTTTTTAATTTTATAATTTTTGGATGTTTTTATGAATAATATGGAAAAAAGTGAAAAAATAATATTTTTTAAAAAATAATTTAAATAAAATACGAAAATAATAATTAAATAATAAAAAAAAATATTTTTGTTAATTTTTTTTATGAAAATAGAAAAGTTAGAATAAAAATAAAAGAACAAAACAAAAAGTGAAGAAGGTGGGATTCGAACTCTCGACCTCTCACACTCACAACTCCTTACACACAGTTTCTTGCCAATTGTGCTATTTTATTCATTCAAAATAAAGTGGCACTAGAAACTATGTAAAGGTAGGACAAATTTGGGTGCAACACATATCATTAAAACACCACTCCACATATCCTAACTTGTATCGAGGGTCAAAAATCACACCAAAGTAAATAAACTTGTTGATATTTTCAATTTCTCCCCAATATTTGTCATACTTCTGCTTCATTTCATATCCCATTGAGGCTAAAATTGTGTTCAAGTTCATGCATGATCTTTTTAGCTCACAGTGGATTGAAGCTAGTTGGTGGAATGCCTTATGAAGGGACACTTGTTTTGACGAAGAAAATTCCATAGTAGCTTCATAGAAAATTTTGAAAAAACTTACAAGACACCTAACATTATCCCAATCATTAAGAGTAGGAGGACCAACTAACCCAAAAAATTCCAAATAGCTAAAATCTTCACCTTCCATTTTCTCAAATGCTGCTTGATACTTTTCAGCAGCATCTAACATCAAATAACATGAGTTCCACCTTATTGGAACATCAAGACATAAAAGTTTCTTACAATTAATTCTAGCAAACTCAATACATTCTTTGAACTTTGATGATCTTTGGGGTGATGATCTCACAAATCTAACAGCATTTCTAATGGCACAAATAGATAATTCATTTTGTTTTAAACCATCACGAACCACTAGATTTAGAATGTGTGCACAACAACGAAGATGAAAGAAAGACCCATCACTCATTAAACCACCCATATTATTAATCCTCTTCTTCAAATAAGCAACAGCTACATCATTAGATGTTGCATTGTCCACTGTGATTGTGGACACATTCCTTATTCCCCACTCCCTTAATATCTCTTCAACTTGCCTACCAATTGTCTCACCCTTATGATTAGGAACTAAACAAAAACTTAGAATTCTATTTTCATACTTCCAATCATTGTTAATAAAGTGTGCAGTTAGGGTCATGTAGCTAAGATTCTGAATGGATGTCCAACAATCAGTGGTTAAGGCTACCCTAATGCAATCAGATTTGAAATAACCTTTCAATCTTACTTTTTCATCAACAAAAAGTTGAAAAAAGTCCCTCGCCACAGTCCTCCTCGATGGAATAGTTAATTGGGGTTGTAATTGTTTGCATAGAAACTTAAATCCCTCCCCTTCAACTACTCTAAAAGAATGTTCATCTAGGATCACGAATAGAGCAATAGCCTTTCTACAAGCTGCCAGATTAAATCGTTGACTTGCAGCAACCAAGCCACCACCCTCTCCACTAGCAAAGGAAAGGGCAGTTTGAGTAGGATCATTTTGTGGCCTCTTGGTGCATATTTTTGTGTGAGCAAGCATGTTAGATGTCCCATGGGATTTTGGATCACACAAATACTTTTTATGACAGTGTTTACAAGCAGCTACAGGTTCAGTTTCATTAGGTAATTTAATAAAGTGGTCCCATGCAGGAGACGATTTCCTAGGACCATTAGCATTTGGTTTTCTTTTCTTTCCAAGTGGAGGAAGCCCAACAACGTGAATTTCAGTTGCAGCAACATCAGTTGCAACAACACCAGATGTTAATGTAGAAGGCTGGTGTTGTGTAACATTCTCCATTGCTGAAAATTAATGAAGATTATAATCAACACACAACCAACATTATTAACTCATTAAGTGTTTAGATGCTTAGTGAAAATAAGTTTTTGGTTGTTGTGGTATATTACACTCTTTATTTAGTTTTAATGACATTGACTAGATGCTTAGTTTTAAGGATAATCCAGGTTCGACAATTCTCAATAAATGTTACTAAATTGTTTGCACTCATATAACTACTAGGTTCTGTAGTTTAAAGGATAACACAGTAGCTACAATGTCTTATATAACTCATAATGACTACAAGCATTAACGACAAAACTGAGGTTCACCAAAATTGCCACAGATTTGACAAAAAAAATGGCAATAACTTCAGTTGGATAACACAGTAGCTACAAAGTAAAAGAGATATAATCTAATATGGATCTAAAATAAATATCCACTCACCAAAATAGAGAACTACCAAAATTAGAACTAAGCAAAGCAGAACTATCAAAATCAGAACTAAGTAAAATCAAAACAGATCCCCACCACATACGGAGGGTAGGCTTGGTTATTGCTTTTCCCCAGCAATGGTTTTCCCCTCTTACTGATGCCATTCCAAGCACGTTGAAGCTTAGATAACAGATCCCCCTCTAGAAGACCAGTGAGGTACAAAGATTCCTGTACCTCTTCATCCATCGGCGGAGCTCTCAAAGCATACGCGAACTGTCGGACCAGCAAAGACGGATTGTAGTTTATACAGCCCTTCCTGCCTATCAAAGGCACGTTTGGAAACCCGCTGCAGCTGAAGATAACCTCGGTACCCAACCTATCTCTGTCAAACCAGTCAATATCCTCCGCAGATAGACTCATCAAACGCTCGGACCACTCAGCTGTGACTGCAGACGAAACAAAGGGACCCCTCTTGGGCAGATGACTATCAAGCCATTTATAAAGCAAGGGCACACAACACGAGACATTCTTGCCCCTTCTGTTCTCGTTTTTGTAGTGGATGGAATGGTAGACATCTCCTATCAAGGTAGGGACTGGATTCCCTGAAGCAAAGATGCGGAAGGAGTCGAAGTCTACAAAATCCGGCATATTAGGGAACAAAATGATGCCATATATGCACAGAGCGAGAATGGCGTTGAATACGACCCAACATCCATCTTTGGCGCACTGTTGAGCCTTACCCACTAAGAACTGCAAGGAGAAGCCGGGAACCCTGTTCCAACTAGACAATACCAACTCGGAGGCATCCAGATGAAGTGACGGAGCTAGACTAGCCAGATCAGGCTCAGTATCCATATGAACAAAAGGCATCTGCCTCTTGATAGGCACACCTAACAAATCAACATATTCTTCTAGCGTGGGTGCGAGAACAAAATCCTGGAAAGCAAAGCATCTCAACGGAGGATCGTAGAACTGCAGCAGAGCGTGCAACCCATTCAACTCGAACGCAGAAGGTTTACGAACCAAACTGAGCAGTTTGCTGTAAGATTTTCTGAACTCATCTCTCACAGAATCATCTGCTAAAGCAATCAAACCAGTCAGCTGAACAACATCAGGGGCAGGGAGCTTGTAAGCCACGGTCTTCCTCAGAGAACCCATAACAACACAATAGGAGGCAAGAAATCCTGAATCGGGGAAAACGGTACCTGCAACACAGACACACGTTAATGAAATGCAAATGAGTATGCAAAGCAATGTAAAATGCAATCATGCAGCAGGAGATCAAGGCAACTGTGCTGTGGAGATTCTGTATCAACAAAACCACGATACTGCTTTGTCAAGACCAACCAATATATCTGATAAGAAGAAAACCCTGGTATCGGACCACAAATCTGCTCTGTCAAGAACAACCATATATAGGACTATAAATCCTGCTCTGTAAAGAACAACCATCTGATAATAAGGACCTCTGATACAGGACCAAAACTCTGCTCTATCAAGAACAAACATCTGATAATGAGATCTTTAGACCCCAGTCATAAACCTGCTCTGTCAAGAACAAACATCTGATAATGAGATCTTCAGACCCCAGTCATAAACCTGCTCTATCAAGAACAAATACACATCTCTGGATACAAGGTCCTCTGATACAGGACCAAAGCTCTACTCTGTCAATAACAATCATATCTGATGATGAGAACCTCCGGTATCAACAAAACTGATTCACTGTCAAGAAAACCAGGTAGTTTGAAGGTCCAAGTTTCCTGTAATAAACCCAACCCTGCTCACATGTATGGACCTAAACTGACTCAAGTTCGGCATCCTATGCGTTCATCAGCGTCACAGACATTCAAGAGGGGTGATACGATACCCAGAAGGTGTGGCATCACCAACTCATGAAGCGGCCTCACTCGGCTGAATCACAAATGATCGGTCCCCAGAGTCGACAATCCTCCAAACCAACAACCCCCTCAACCCAAAGGGTTGAAAAAGAAGTCAACCGAGAGAACCTCGTCTGAGCGTGGATTTCATGAGACACTAGTGCCTGCCAAGCAAGCACGCGCCCACTAATTTCCATAACTAATGCTATGTTCACTCAAGCCTGGGTCTTGCTTCTCACTCATCAGAATGCCCCTCCCACAACATCATAGATAATCATATCATACTGAAAATAGAGTGCGGGAAATAAAAATGCGATAAATAAACACGACCTAACAAGTAATCATACAAGCGCTAGGATTGACTCTCGTGGGGGACGTTGGATCCCCAAACTAACTCGCATAAGGGACGTTGGATCCCAGGAAACTATCAAGTTCCCAGCAGAGTCGCCAGCTGTCGCTTCCGCGAAAATAAGGTGCCGGCAAAACAGAAGACTCGCCAACTTTCGTTATTTATCCCTCAGAACGGGAAAGGAAACGATCGGAAAAACCTGACGAAAAGGTATAAGACAAGGTCATCACAACCGTTGTCTGGGTTCGGGAGTCGGTTACGCAAAGGGAAGGTATTAGCACCCCTCACGTCCGTCGTACTCGACGGGATCCACACTTGTTGTGTTTACTAGACGAGTTGGTTTATCTATCTACCTATCAAGGCTGGCTTAAAAAGAAAAGAAATTGACTCGGCAAAGCGTCACGCTTTATGCCTACGTATTCTCATCAGAGAACGAGAAATCAGAGTCAACGTAGTTCGCCCTACTACGGGTTACGGGGAAGGTGGCTTGCCAATACGTCAGTATTGTGCCTACGTACTCTCAACAGGTATGAGAGATCAGAGCTTACGTAGTTCGGGCTAACACGGATTACGGGAATTCAGATTCATCTGTTTTATCGAGTAGGGTTAAACAGCAGCTCCAGCAGTTAGGGACAAAGCCTGTTTGCGTTGACGCTGAAGTTTAACGACACTCTTTTCTTCAGAAAAGATTTCCTTTGAATTATGGGCCCACGGGGAAAAAAGGTTTGAAGTTTGTTTTCCGTCTTTTACGAAAGAAGTATTTTTTATTATGTTTGCAATTTCAATCGCACTAAAGACTATGACCTGAGAGTGAATGCGCCGCAAGTCACCCAAGGGGTGCCATACTAAACATCCATACTGTTGAAAAGAAACTCTCCGACAATCCTTTCTCAGATAGCTTAAGGCTCGTAACGTACGAAAGAAATCATTCATGATTACTGTATCTTAAGCTGTTTTGAGATGAGAAGAGAGAACAGGCTCAACTACGGGGAAACTATCAAGTCCTACTGTTGTCATGCCAAGGATTCATCCTATAGTTGTAGTTTGAAACAGGGAACTCCTAGAAGTTATCATGCATAGGTTTCAACCTAAAGTTCTACCATCATTTCCTTATCAAAGGAAATGAGAGTCCTAAGGGATCATGTCAATGATAAACAGAAACAGATAAAGCATCAGCTTAAACAGTGAACAGTAAACAACTGTAAAATGCATGCAATGCAAGTGAGGGAGGAAATGTGTGTGGGGCAGCAGCCTCCACAAGCTTATCTCAACCTCAAGCCAGAATGAATAATAGCAATCATACAAAAGAGTAAAGCAACATGCTATCAAGCAGAATATAAGAGACTGCAATCATACAGAAGAAATGAAATAAAATAGGATGCTATCAAGCAAAATAAACAACATGGGCAAGGTAGCTGGGCTCTACCGAATACCCGCAAGCAAAGCGATACAGTAACAATACAAGCAGAGGGAGCAACTCAACCTCTAGTGCAATCATGCTCCTAGATTAAAGTCAATCTAATCATGGACTTAGTCTAATGCATCAGACAAGTCAAACAAGGCACATCAGCAATACAGAAAAGAAAACAGACAAGAAAGCAGATCAACAACTCTCTCTTTCCAATCCAAGCCTCAGCTTTTCCTACAGCAATCCAGTCTTCAGACTTCAATTACCCTTCAAGACAAATATCCTTCATGACAAATATCCTTCATGACAAATATAAATTTATTGCTTCCCCAGGTTTCAACCCTTCAACATAAGTTTCAACTTAATCTTCTTCTTCAAGCTTCAGCTTTCTTATTCAATTCCACCTTCATGCTTCACTCCTAACTGCAAGTATCAACTTGATTCCTTCAGGCTCTCAAAGCTTCAATGTAAGTATCAACTTCCTTTAGTCCTCAAGCCTCATCTTTACACTCAATCTCAATTGAATCCTCTTCATAAGTATCAACTTAGTCCTCAGGCTTCAGCTTTCTTTGCTTTACCAGTCTCAACTTGGTCTTCTTTATCTACAAGCCTCAACTTCTCAGAGTAATCTTCAATCATCTGGAAGTGTCAACTTTATCCTTCAATTCTTGCTCAAGCCTCAACTCTTCATTCAATTTTTACTGGATCTTCAAGTATCAATTTGTTCTTCTTGCTCTTCAAGCTTCAGCTGCAATGACAATGCTCAAGGAATCATCCTCTTCCACACTCTTCAGTGAAGTCCTCATCTTCAGACTCAAGCCCACCATCTCTCAAGATACTCATACCAGAATAAATCACTTACCTGGATAAGCTAGGATATTAAACTGCTTATTGACCATCAAAGGAGGCCTATAAGGGTTTAACATCAGAAGAATGGTTCCCTCAAAAGTTT